TTTCAGTCTAATGTTAATAATTTATGTTGTCTGTGCTTTTTATTATTATTATTTATTTACTACTTTCTTTTCAGCAGCCTGCCCATTTTTCAAAGGCATCATGGACAGGGAGGCCGTATCAAACTTTTGAGTTTAGTTTCAAAAGGCTTTCTCCCTGTTTATTTATATATTTCTTCTTCTTTACACTTGTCTTGCTGTTATTTGGTGAGGCAAACACATGAAGCTTTGATGTGAAGCAAACCTGACATGTATTCTTCTCTACTGACCCCAAGGAAATCTAAATAAATTGCTAAATATTGTATATAAGGCTCTTTTTGTAGCCTCTTCTCTTTTTAAACACATCAAATATTCAGTTACAGTCATTAATCTATCCACCATCAGTAGCAATTGTCAAATAAAACGACACCTTAAATATGAGAGTGAGTACAGGATGATTTAAGCTGCACTTGACCATGACCTCGCAGAGAGAGAAAGTCAGCACGAGTTTGATTTTATTTGATGTTTTCAATAAATGTGTTTATGTGTTTGGTTGAAAAAGATGAAAAGAGAAGTCAGAGATGTTTTTATAATGTTTATGTGTTACTGAAAACTTTGAACTCTATAGCTAGGAAGGTATTCTCTATTTTTCTCAATTATAAATCAAATATAGTAGATTTCTTTATATGTCACTTATAGGGATTAAATGGGTCACTGTTTTCTGTTTACTGATAATATTTACAGTAGATTGAAATCAATGATAAATTAATCTATAATTTACCACATCTAAATATGTAATTTCAAGTTTAACCACACCAAATTATATGATTTTCACTACAGAGTCAAAAGCTGGGATGGCTGCTACTCTGATTAGCTAATTACCGTTAGCAGGACTTTAATCTAGATGAGTTTTTTTCTTGAATTTTAGTAACTGCCTCATTTTGATATTTGAGAAACTAGATTTTCCACGATTGTGATCAATGATACATAAATCTACAATTTCATACATTTCAGTATGTGATTTAGAGGTAGCTTAACTGCACTAAATCCTGAATTCCACTAGAGTCAAAAGCTGAGATGGCAGTACTCTGCTAAGCTAGTAAGCTTTTGCAAGAGTTTAGCTAGCTTGTTTTTTTTTGTGAATCATAATTGGATTTAGCTACTGCCTCATTTGATGATGTGGAATAACAAACTGAATTACCAACATGGAAATCAATAATAATAATAATAATAATAATAATAATAATATATAATAATAATAATAATAATAATAAATTGAATTTGTATAGCGCTTTTCACAAACTCAAAGTCGCTTTACAGAGCAGATAAAGAAACATGACAAAAAAAACAAAAAAACCCAGCTAGGGATAGGCAGAGGAGAAGAGATGGGTCTTAAGGCGGGACTGGAAAATGATGAGGGACTCAGAGGTGCAGATCTCATGGGGGAGGGAGTTCCAGAGCCTGGGAGCTGCCCTGGAAAAGGCTCTTTCCCCAAGACTGCTGAGCCAGGATTTGGAGTAGGTGATGAGTCGTGTGGCTGAGTTCTGGACCAGTTGGAGTCTTTTTATGTAGATTGAGTTGATACCAAGGAGTAGTGAGTTGCAATAGTCCAGCCGTGAAGAGATGAAGGCGTGAATGAGTCTTTCAGCAGCAGAGGGTGTGAGTGAGGGTCTGATTTTGGCAATATTTCGAAGGTGAAAGAAGGAGGTTTTAATGACATGACGGATGTGTGGCTCAAGGGAGAGGGTTGAATCAAAGATCACACCTGGGTTGAAGGCCTGGGGAGATGGGGAGACAATGGTGTCGTTGATGGTGAGAGTGTGGTTGTTGGCTTTGCTGAGAGTGGATTTGGAGCCTATGAGGAGGAATTCTGTTTTATTGCTGTTTAGTTTGAGGAAGTTGTGTTGCATCCAGGTTTTAATCGCTAACAGACAGGAGTTGATGTGGGACAGGAGGGGATTGTGGGGGGATTTGGTGCTGAGGTAGATCTGGGTGTCATCAGCGTAACAGTGGAAGTTCAGGTTGAAGTGGCGGAGTTCTCTCATTAGTATATTAGCAATTAATTATGATTTAAATTACAATTAAAAACATTTAAATATATGATTAAAAGGCAGATTAACCAAACCAACTGCGTGAATTTCACTAGAGTCAAAAACTGAGATGTCAGCACTCTGCTAAGCTAGTTCATTTTAACAGTAGTTAGCTTTAAGTTTTTTACCGCTATGATTTAATTTAGCTTATGCCTCATTTAGTTTCGTGGAATAACAGACATATTGAAATCAATAATAAATTGATCTACCTCAAACCGCAATGGGTTTCACAAGTTCCCCTGGAACCCCGACCCACTAGTAGGTCTGTTTTTCCCCACCGTTTTGTTCACATAGAGCCTAATGTTAGCTAGCTGTCACATGCTGTATTAGCTAACGTTAGCACTCGTTCAAGAGGACCTTGCCAGATCAGCTTAAAGTCAGTTAAAAGTTAAGTTTAACCAGCTCAGTGCTATGTGAGAAAACAATGTCAGAGAGAAAAAGACTTACTGGTAATTGCTGTTTGAGAGTTACAGGTGAACTAGTGGAAGCCTTTGCCTTAGGTTTGCGGTGACACCAAAATCTTCTGTGCTGATGAGAAGACAGCTGGTTCAAGAGTGACGTTCTCTCATTAGTATATTAGCAGATTATATATATACTTCACCCCTCAGACCCCTCCTCTCATCATCAAACCGGTGACAGAATGTTCAAACAAAAAAAACTCAGTGGAAAAAAAACTGTCACTAACAAAATGACATAAAGAAAAAATCTGAAGATTGTCATTGAAAAACACATCAGAGTGCAAAAAATATCAAATTAAAATGAAATAATGTTTGGCTGTGTGATGCCTGTGTTTTACTTTTCAGTGAAACTATACTATACTTTATCCTATACTTTTTTGAGCATAACTACAACTTTTTATATTTTGCAATACAAAACTTTACATGATAATGTTATGCTGACATGATAATGTCTAACCCCATACATTTAACAATGTTATCAAGATTAGAAGCTGGTTAGAAGTAGCTAACCACAAATCCAGTAATTCTACTTGTCACTAGGTGAAATGACAATTAACATTACTGCTACTCTACTTAGCTTGTTAGCTTTAGCTGTATCAACTATAGCTAGCTGTTTTTTCCATCATGATTGGATATATATGCTTGATTTAGTTATATAAATAGAATTACCAAATTTGAAAAAATAATAAATTAATCTGATATAGATAAATAAAGATAAAGGCAGCTTAATCACACCAAATCACATAAACCAAAAGCTATTAACTGCTACTCTGCTAAGCTTGTTAACATTAGCAGAAGTTTGGGTTTTCTCCATTATAACTGAATTTAGCTAATGTCATTAATTATTTGGAATAAATAACTGGATACTGATGCTCGTTATAGACTTCAACAAGAGGGAAATAGATATAGGTATAGATAGAATAGGATATAGAATAGGTTTTAGCTAATGCTAAGCTTAAGTTTTAGCTAATGCTAAGCTTTAGTTAAGGGCTAGTGGCTATCTTTCACATTATCTCATGGAAGTTATGCATATATGGCATAATAGTTTTTATATACCAAAAAAGAGATTTCTCAATTCAGTTTTGAGCAAATATTTACAATGTTATGGCTTTATAGGGCAGAATCTATGTATCTTGAAGAAAAAAACCATTCCACTGAAACAGGACACACAATTCATGTCAAACAATTGTTTATTACTAATTATGGTACAAATCAATGTGACATACTTGAAGCTTTTTTTGGAAATACACAAAGTGCTGCTTAACTGACCAAACAGATATTGCTCTATAGATTAAGTACAGTTTTCAGTCTATAAAAAAATGAAAACCAACCTCTGCAGGCTCTTCAGCTTTGGTTTCGAGTTCTTCAACTATTAACAAAACGTCAAACCAGTTTGTGTTAGTAAAATTTCACAAAAGCATCTAAAGGTGTTTAACAAATCATCCTAATTGGGTTAATAGCAAACATCACTGTAATCTCCTTTTCCTCTATGCGGGTCTACAGGTCTGTGAAAACTGAGGTGAATGTCACAATGAATGAGAAATAATGCAGCAATAATAAAAAAGCGATGAGTCACACGTGGCTCACGAAACCACTACACGGAAAAAAATTAAATAAAATAAATAACACACATGCCTCTCCCTCCAAATTGAAGGTGAACATCGACACACACATAGTGCAGAGTAATAATCTGTCTTTTCTACTGACCTGCTGCTGCTTGTATGGCGTTTGTATGATTCACTCAAGAAAAGTACTGAGGTAAACCTTGGATGAACTACTGTACATTTCTACTGTTCAATTCTTTTATTTCAGATTTTTAAAGATTGTCAACATCATGAATCTATTTCTCTGTACAATGTGCATAACTATAGAGCTTTGGTCCAGCATTGAAAAGTTGAATGAAGGCATAACTCCTTTCTGTGTCTTCTTAGTTTTTGGTTTTGGTTACAGCTTTATAATTAAGCCTCAGAACAGATCCATATTCTCTACCTGGAGGAGCCTGCTGCGCTCATATGTTTGTCTGGTTGGTGGATGCAAACATGTAGCTTCTTGGCCAAAGATTTGCCTGAAATACATATTAAAAACAATACAAATTAAAAACAAAACAAAATCTGATTTAAGGTGGAAACAGAATAAAGAAAACATAAAATGTGTTGCTGTAGATGTGCAGATGAAATTAAGAATTATATAAAAATCTGTGTGCACCAAAGAAAATGAGTCTTTTCTGCAAAACTTTCTTCCTTCTTCTACATGTAAAGCTTCTTCATGTGTTTTCTGACATTTACTGAGTGTGTGTCTGTGTGTTTTCCAAGCAGTGAGGAAGAACACAGCGCTGCACAGGGGACTGAAAGACTGAGATAACCAATGTGACATAGAAGGACAGATATCGAACAAGACACATGATTCTGAATAAATTGCATCAAATTTCACCTCACTTCAAATTAAGTTCACTCGCTCTGACATGTGACACTTATTCTCAACATTCACCTCTTTTTTATTTTTATTTTCCTGTGAGGGTTTTTGTGAAAGCCAAATATTTGTAGTGACGGTCAGGGAGGTTCTCGCCTGGATTTTGACATTTCTCAAAAGGTAATACCGTGTAAAATGAAATGTAGAGTGATGGAGAAAAAATTCATCATCAGTGGACTGATATTACTTCTACCCATGTACATTTTGATAAAACAAACAAACAAACCACAAATACATGAAATATTAAGATCATTTGATAATCATTTCATAGTTAAAATGGTTGATTTAAACATCTGTAAACCTTCACTTAGCTGAGTGGACAAAAGAGGCAACATTAATCTTTGCAGAACAGCAGATTTGAGTTGAATAATTTGTTATAAAAACAGCTAAACTGGACTGAGCTCAGTAGTTTGGTCAGAGGCTACAAACAGGCTTCAACCACATGTTTATTTTAGGGTGAAATCAAAGGGTTATTTGTCAGTGATTGTGGCAACATTCAGGTAATAATGTTAATTTTGAGTTGCCTGGTGAAATTTATCATACCCAAGGTTGCAAATAATCCGTCTTCATGTGGTTTGAGTTGAAGCATGCAGAAGCAGATTTACTGAAACAAATTTCATCCAACACATTTTCTAAATTGTCACGATAATGAATTAAAGCAGACACTGTTGCATCTGTTTGACATGGTAAGTGTTTTTTGTGTGTATTAAACTAGACCCACAGAGTGAAACACTTTAGAAAAAATATGGGAGAAAAGCCATGTGAATAAAAATAAATAAAAATGTAAAATCTTCACCAGTCCTTGAGCTGTAATTTATGTGTTCTTTGGCTATCAGGCTTTGGCAACAGAATGACACAGTAGCTCAAAACAAAGCTGCAGTAGACTTGACAGACACTGAAACCCCTCTTCCTCCTCCTCATCATGTGAAAGTCCTTAGTTTACTCTCCCTCCGTCCGTCCTCTGAAACAATCTCATGAGATTATTAATAAATACCTGTAAAAGTTGTACAAAGTTACACTGTGACTGAAAATATCTGCAGATGAAACACAAATCAGAGATCAGAGGCAAACAACATTATTACGCAATTGTTTAACAGCAAAGGTACATTTTTTTTGTCCAAAAGTGAACTTTATCAGTGAGATTTCAATTCAAAGACAGCATTTTCCTTTTTTTCAAAGATATTTACATACAAACAATGAAGAAAAAAGTAAGCGAGACAAAGATAAAATGTATACTCGACCTCACACATATAGCTCAGATTTGCCAGTACAAATGTAAAAATTTAGAGCACATTTACATTACAAAATTATTCTTAGTACTCAGATGCAACAGACTTTGGTAAATAGTGTTTTGATTTGGTATGATCTCTTTACTAAATCCCTCCTCGTGGGAACCAAAATTTGGGCAATAGTCTGGTCTGTAAGGCCAGGATCTAAAACTCTTTGAAACAGCACACCGTATGTTTTTACATAATTCTCAGATATTAATCTCTTTTTTCATGTTTTTGGTTTCGCCAAGGTCATTTACATAGCTGTGGTAATCACACTGACAACACATAGTTTTTGTTTGCAAACTCATGACTTTTCCATCCAGGTGACTTGGGAACATTTTTCAGTTCTCATTTCGAGATGAGTTCATCCACCTTTGTTGTTTTTAATGGTTGCCACTTTTCCACTCCACGGTTTTTGCTCGTTCATTTCGGGAGCTCCTCTAGAGAATCAGTAAGAGGGTCCATTGGAGCAGTTGGGCCGATGTCGGGCTGTTTCAAACGCTTTATTGTGTTTTTCAAGGCTTGCCTCTTGTTGCAGAACCAGACACGCACCACCTCCCTGTCATAGTTCAGTTTCTCCGCTATTTCCGTCATTTCCTGTCCGGAGGGGTGTGTGTTCTTCTCAAAGTGGCTGTTGAGGATCTCGAGCGCCTGCGGGGTGAAAGAGGTCCTCCGCTTGCGTTTTTTGGAAGGCTCGCTGCCGATAAACTCAGTCAGGTTCTGCATGCCGGATCGGTGGCGGGCCTCAGCCTCGGCCATCCAGCGCTCCAGAACGGGCTTAATCTTCTGGGCGCTTTTAGGGGTGATGTCCAACTTCTCAAACCTGGCAGGATATAAAAGGCCAGGGTTCAGTTTGCCTGTCAGACTGCTACCTATAGTGTTCTCTTGGGCTTCCTGTGGTAGGAAAAAGTGGCTTCTCAGGATGGTGTGTCTGGGGAGAATTGAGAAAAAAGAATCTTAGGTGCCCTGCCAGAACAAGGGATAAGCTGCCTGCTTTTTAGTCTCCTCTACCAGAATGCCACAGGGACTGAGACTAACATCCAGGTACACATCCGAGCCAAACTCCTCTGTATTCTGGAAACACCTCAGCTGCAGCAGCTGGAGGTGAATGTTGCCAGTTGTGTGTTAATTTTCTCGAGGAGGCTGTGGTTCTCTGTCCCAAATTGGCAATAGTGGAGCAAGGAGATAGTGCCAATGGCTAAATCAGGTCCAGTTGATCCAAAGACATACCAAACATCTAACTAAATCTTAAATACTGTACTTTAAAAAGATTCTCATAAATCAACAGAAAAACAAAACAGGAATTACACCAAAATATCCCATTTCTTTCCCTCAGGTGATAAAAACCAAAACAAAATCCACTAATGCATGCAGTTAAATATGGCACCATCATTTATTTACAAAAAGAGCTTGAATTATTAATCAAAATGTACATTTAATACATTTTTCAAACTTTCTTTCATCCTCTAACAACGTCTCATTTTATATTTAATAAGAATACATTTACACTCTAATCCTGAAAGTTCCTGCAACTATACGCCTGCGTGACGCATAATTCTGACTTCACATATACTCAAAGTCACAGGAAGAATGGAGAATGAAGCTTTTTCTAAAAACCCTGCGAGCTGGCAGCCTAATGACTCTGTCCGGTGCTCTTGCCTGTGATATGAACAGATACTGTGTGTGGTATCAGGATTAGATACGATGAAGACAATGGTCTTAAATTTAAAGTAAAATGATTCCTCTCATGTCTGTCTGTAATTTGGTGGCTCATCCTGACTTAATGCAGGAAAGGATAATATTCCTTATAATGTGTTAAAAATACATTTCAATTCTTAATTCAACATGTTATTCAAAGATTTTATTTACTGTGACCAATGGTGGAATTTTGAGGTCAATACCGACATTGATCTGATAGCAATGTATCAGCAGATATTAGTTTATTAACAATACATAACTGTAAATGAAATATCAACACACATCTTTGATATTAAATGTGTTATTAAAGATTAAGTGACACTTTGAAGGCGCACAGGCAGCAAGGGGCAGTCTCTTCTGAGTTAATATCGTAACATTGCTTTAGATATTTTGCATTTATGGCGATGTAAAAGCTACATTGATGATGGACTTTATCTGAAGAAAGTGGAAACATAATGTTGGTCAGGCTCTATTACTTACAGAATGGCCAACAGTGCCTTCAAGTTGAAGTGGTGCTCACTGACTGGATGTTCTTTGGGCTTTATTGTTTGTTTCATGGTCATTTAGTTTTTTCACTGTGTTACTTGAAAGAAATATACGAGGATGGCATAAGATAGACGTCCAGTTTGACTCGAAAAAACGGCTTAGTCATCTTTTAGTCTTATTCGTCATGTTAATAAGACATCTGGGATGTCAGGATGTCCCGTTACAAAGGAGGAGTGAATCCGGAATTGGTCTTGTGTAGCAGTGATAGGCTATAAGGGTGGTGATGGGACAGTGGATAAGATGCTTGCCTTTGGTGTGAGAGAACTGGGTTCAAATCCACTGTGAGACACCATTGTGTCCATGAGCAAGACACTTAACCCCTAGTTGCTCCAGAGGCGTGCGACCTCTGACATTTATAGCAATTGTAAGTCGCTTTGGATAAAAGCGTCCGCTAAATGACTAAATGTAATACGCGATTGGAGGGAGTTTTGTCTGAAACTGCCTGGTTTTTGAAAATGCCATCAAACATGAGCCTCATCACTGGAGTGTACTGCAACACCAGTGCAAGTTAGACTCATGCCTCTAGGTTTCTTTGTGGATTACTTGAAAGAATATTTCAATAAGAATAAAGAATCTTTTTGTTTGTTTTACCTGGTGTCTGTGTGACTTCGGTGATTTTGTATATTTGTTCTCAGGACAGGAAGTATTTATTTTTGCCTTCATTTGATAGTGGAAACTAAAGAGGTGACAGCAAACGAAGGGAGAGCGAAAAAGGGATGACTTGTAACAAAGATCCCCGGTTAGACTCAAACCAGGGACACAGCAATTACATTTTCAGTGTCTAAGACAACTAGGACACCAGGATACACCCTCAGGCCTATTCTACCAAAAACTCTCTTGATTTAAGTGAGATTTCCAAAATAAATGAAGGTTAACTAACATAGAGGGAGAGTTTAACTCTTATAAAAGCTGCTCTATAAGATCTGATTTTTTTTAAAATAAATAAGCGTCAGATGTAACTAAAAGTGTTTCAGGACAAACATGAGAGTGGCGTGTGTGAATGGTTTTAGTAGAATAACTCCTGAGCTGACAGCTCTGACGCAAAGACAATCTCTGAGGAGGCTCAGCTCTCTGCGGACCAAACAATGCACACAAGACATTTTTAATGGCGAGATGAGCGGCTGCAGTAAACAACAGCGATGGCGAGATGCCTGTGCATGCATGAACTTCCTCTGTTTCTACACCTTGTTGGTGCATTCCTCCTTGTCGATAGGCGGTATTATTTATCACCCCACCCCCCTCTAAACAGTGGAAAGAGGAGGACTCCATACTGCGGGGAATACATTAGTAAATATGAGGAGTCACCAGAGACAGGACATTTCATGGATCAACAGGAACCGCAGATACTAAAATGAGTTGAGAGCTGCTCAGCTGGGGTATGTACTCCTTCCACTAGTGCATCAGCACGAGGGAGAAATGGCCCTGAACACACCTCCAGCCTCTCTGGCTCTTCTTAAAAGTACCTTAGGAGGCGGCTTAGACATGTTGCGTGTTTAGGTCTGAGCTCCGTTTTCCTCGAGGGTTTACACTCATGAACCAGTGAGAGCTTTCTGAGAGGGCGAGGTGATACATATGACCTAAAATCTACAGAATATGAAGATAAATGATCAGATTTACCTCAGTGACAATTAACGTGACAATTATTATTTATACTTCAGCACATGAAGCTCATATTTCATGTTTGTTCACTTCAGATCCGTTTGTACTGTTTAATTACAATATGACCATTTAAAGATAATGAGCAGCTGACTGGTTGGTGGAAAAAAGTCACATTTACTGAATCGGTGATATAACGGTATATACAATGAGACAAAATCCAAACATGTATTACATTTAAATGTTAATGTAGATATTATATAATGTAAGCTTTATAAGCTGTCACTTAACCCTAATGTCAGGTACTGAGAGGTTTGTTGGTCTTGTTTACTTTTAAATATTGAATACTGATTAAATATTTCCAGATTTAGATATAAGTTTAGCTAATTTTAGACAGTATTTTATTAGGCAAAGTTCTTTTAAGATCACTTTATAGTAAACATTTTCTTTTGTTTAATAGGAAAAGGATTTTGCAGAAAAACCTTTTTGGATTTTAAGAGTTTATAGGCAATATTGAAAACAGTGGAACGATTACCTGACCTTGTGATAAAAGTAAATTTGAATCTGTAAGAGATTCATAAGTTAGTTTATTGTCTAGCCCTACTTAAAGCTGCTCATATATATGTCTAAGGCGATGCTTTCATAAGCTGGCTATGTATTCCTGGTTGATTATTTATACCATATGATTATTCTAGCACAACAAATTCTCAGAAGTGTGAAAATACGATTTAATGCAAGTTACTTACACATTTTTAATTCTAAGGGCATCTATATAAAATAAGAAATGCGCGTAAATACAGTTTTTAATATTTATATTATCTAAACAAAACCAAATGTGAGCCCAAAGAGGACACACTACACATCATTGGTTTGATGATGCCTTCATGTAATGCCTTGTTTAAATAAACTAATAAAGTGCCTGGAAACGTACTGAGCAATGAAAGGAGACAAGATGGTAGCATCTGTCAGTGTCTGTTCACTGTCTGGGTTCAGAGCCGGAGCCCCAGAGCTACCGTGACGTCCCGTTTCTCCTCAAACTTCATGTCTATGTTGATGTTAACTAAACTAAAGCATGTTTAGTTTGCCTCTCTACTTAAAACATCAGGATGTCAAATCCAATGTCATACAAACAAAAAAATTGTCTTAACGGCATGAATAACAGCCCACAGAGTGTTTATTTTTTGAAGCTAATGGCTTTTAATGTATGTTATAAATATTTGAATTATTCCTGGCTGTAAATATTTCATGTGTGATTTTAAGACTTTCAACATTAGTCAGAGATGGCTGGGCCTCATAAGAACCCTGGCCTCTGTACTGTTTCACATTTTATCGCCCGTCTGATGTTGATGTGATGAAATTTTTAAAAGCGCGTGGCAGTGCCGTGTCACATAAACAGTACAGGTCATCAGCAAAGCACATGCATTGCAGAGGGACATTAAAATTAATACAGGAATAAGAACTGGAATTTGACTGGAAACGACAAAACAGGCTGCAAATGTGTGAAGCTGTGTGTGTTTTGGGCAAATAAAAGTTGTTAATAATGTATCCTTCAATTACATTTTAGAAAAGACACTTAACATGAGCTTCCATTTGTCTACTCTTTAAATTAATCTTACACTTTAAATTGTTTTTTATATTGTAGAATAAATGATTTTACTATTTGTGTCTCTTGAAAGTAATGTTTGGGCATGATGCAGCCAAATTATTCTGACTTGAAAGGGAAATGTGGCTCATTTGGCATCCTCATGCAAAACGTTAGTCAAGTGGAACAACAGGAGGGATGAAATACTGATTGTCTGATTGTCTCATTAATATATAATGCACCATTTATGACTAAACTGTCCTCGTGGCAGCAGTAAAACATGGCAATCTTATTAACAGATCTTCGCCGTCAAGCTCTCTCATGTTCAGGCGGAGCTACTGGCAAAGGGCCTTAGTAATTATTAAATGCTTTAAGTGCTTCGTGTAATACTTGTGTATGTATTTTGCATAAGTAACGCATGGCTGTCATGTCAGCGGGTAAGAGGGAAGGGAGAGGCAGAGGGGGTAAGTACACACATGAGAGCTTCATTTGTCAGGGTGCTGATAGTCAATTATGTATTTTAATACCTTACTAATGTCTGTTAAAAATACATGGCAGTTATGAGCACCGGACAAGTCAGTGAGGCTCTGCGACAGAATAAGGACATGTTGAGTTTTACCCTCTGTGTTTGTTCTTACCTGCAGATGGCAGACTGGCTGTACGCCGGCCCCTCAGCGGCGCTGAGTGCCTGGCCGACCTGAGTCTGTGTCAGGCCCAGGGACAGCCGGCGGATCTTGAATGCTTTGGCGAATTCACGAATCTCCTCCAGGTTGACCCCGTCCACCTCGCTGGGGGCGGTCTGCGGGTCTACAATAGAACAAACACATCTCATTTTATTAGCCCTCTGCTCCTCCGTCGCTTACCTCATTTTCCAGAGTGAATGAAGCAAACAGCCAGACATATGTGATCATGATCTTCTCTAAACAACTTTAAAAAAAATAGTGCCGCTCTGGGTCACAATTTATTATTTCTTTTTGCCCCTCTGCTGAAAACTGCATGTATCTGAGAAATGCTTTGACGAATAAATTCATTTGAGGTGTGAATGCAGGCATGTCATGGCTCTGACTTGCAAGTGTGAATCTTTAATCTCACATACAAAAGCATATGGACAAGACCCAACAACACATAACTTGTTAATTCAATGGATTTATAGCTCTTGCGCAGACCGACTCTCACATAAACATTAAAGAACGTACAAAGACATTATTTCATCCATCTGACCCTTAGTGAAGACAGTTCAGGCCTTCAAACCACCAGCGAGCCTCATGCACAAACGATACCGAGCTCCGGCTCCGCCAGAGACTCTCTGAGAGGCTGTTTGTGAATCTCCACATTTGAGCAGATCTGAAAAACTTCACTGAAGCATTTTGAAGAATTTCCCTGCTAATAAAAAGTGATTTCACATTGTACATCAATGTCAGGTGCCCTGGCATCCTGCTTACTAAAGCAAAGTTTGTGCCTCTGAATTATTCATCTTGGTCATTATCAATGAATTATTAAAGGAATCCTCGAAGCGTATTTAAGCAAAAATCTATGGGGCTCCCATCTTGTTGTGCCTCACAAGTGACGTGTAGCGTATGCGGCGTGCTCCAGACGTGTGAACACTTGTGAGACTCTGAGTCGACTAAATGGGAGGGATATGCACTCACAGCTTCGGGTCCCATCATATCCACATTGATGAGCATCTCTTTCCCAGCAGCTATCTATCTACTCTAATGGCACTCAGGAGCAGCGGTTCTGACCCGTTCTAACCCCTGGATCCATATTTGTCTTTAAATGACAGAAGATTTAAACCCTTCTAATTTAAGTTGCAATAATGAGTGGTTGAGAAAAGCTTTCACAAAACAGAGTACTGAATACAATGTTTAAAAAGCTGAATCGAAACAAAGATGACAACAATGGAGACAATCAATTTCGTTTCTTCACAAAATGCTGCTTTTCTTCACAGCAACAATAAACTAATACGCTAATAACAGGACAATAATAAGATACACACTCAGTTTCTCTGCTGAAAAGGAAAATGAATTCATAAATTACAGGCGAGATGTTATTATGTGGCAATACTATTTGGCACACAATGAAGTTTTTGTCTCTGTCTGTGCCCCACCTGACGTAAAAAATGTTTTTGTTTTGTTGAAATGTTCATAATACATCTGAATTAATCTAAATGTTGATGGAGTTTGTAGCAGTGACCCCTCTAGTTGAGAACCAGGAGGATGAGAAGTCAGAAATCTTTCCTTCACAGTCTTAAAAACGTAACAAGTAAATAAGTAATGTTCTACTGTATGTTATTTACGCCCGATCTGTAAATTATATACAATATATTTATAGACACAGCTGGTATTAATGAGCATTATCATTATGTATATTCTGCCTGTGATCGGATATCAAAATGCAAACTAGTTAGGCAGGTCTGGGGCATGGAAAGCATCATACTGTTTTGAAATCACTTCTTGCGTGGGAAGACTTGATGGCTAGTGCCGCTAGTTTTCCAAGCAGCTTGAGCTAGCAGGAAGAGTAAGTTGACTTTTCAACTTTTTCTTAAAACAGTTATAATTTGTATTTGAATAATATAATTAAAAAAAGTATCAAATGAAAATGTGAGAACAATGCTCACAGTGATTTACCTGCAGCTGAGTTTTAAAGTGAGTTTTAACTCATTGTTTAGCTGTCAAGCGCCAACTTTACTGTTTTGATTCACTCTCACTGCTCTCAGAGCGTCATAGCATGAACATAGTGGAGCATTTAGTAGCTAAAGAGCTAGATATTTCCCTCAGGAGTAGGTAGAGACCAAAAACTGAGCTAAAAGAGAGCGAATATTGAACTCCAGATAAATGATAATGTACCCATAGCACCTGAAGTTATGTTATTACAGGTTTAAGAATGTGGTCACAGTGCACAGATTACATTTACACCTGCATTCTTCCTTATCCAGATGGTATATACAGATGCAGACTCCAAGTATAAATGGGGTGAGGCAAGGCAGCCAGTGCTGCTGCTCACTGTTGAAATTACACAACCTCAAGGCAAAATATTGCTGACATTCTTCTTTCTGATTGACATTTTCCCATCTGATTATTTTAAATAACAGTATCACACATTCTACGCTTTTTAATCTGTTTCTGGCACATTGTTTGTGGCCAGTGAATGCAATGACATTTCATCTTCTCTCCTCTGCAGACGACTCTGATTCTGTCACGGGATTTTGCTATGTGTGTGTATACTGTAAGTGATATTGAGAGGAAGTGATATGGCTCATACTCAGCATAAAGCATTAATTCTATTTACCTCAGAACTGAGCCACAGTGATTTTCTGCAAACTCAAAAATGGTTTATAAGATATTTTCCAAGCTACAAGAAAACACAAACTAAACACGGTGTCTACAACAAGTTGATCAATGGCGACTTGGTTTTTATTAAATTTAGTGGCATTGTAGCTGCCTTTAAAATGAGTTTACATGGAGTTTAGGGGAATCGACTCTGACAAATGAAATTTATCTGAATAAAACAGAGTTTTTAAAGGCAATAGCTGCATGCTGACAGGCTGCGGCCCAGTGATTTATAAGTCTCTGCCAAAGGCCCCCGCATTGAGAGAATGAAACTTATGTTCATTATACATAACACACGCCACTTTGGATCGTCTAATAAACCAAAGATTTGACAGGAAAAAAATAAAACAATTGCAGCAGGCGGGGATCAGTCAAAAGCTGTCCACACAGAGTAATGTAGATACTGTGCATCCGCCATGTTGAATCTTTAGCCAGTGATGATAAAGGGACAGTTCACCCAAATTACAAAAAGATACTTTTATTCTCCGGTTGGTTTCTTTTCATGCAGATAGTTTTGGTTTTATATGCGAAGTTTTGAGGTACCTGTCTCTCCACAGCTTTGCCTCCCCCTCAATATAATGGATGTATTTGTGGTATTCAAAACATTTAAACAAATCAACAACAGCAAGTCTTTCCAGAAACGGTCCCTGTTACTCTGGATCAACATGTTGCCAACTTTTTTCATAGGGACTATTTACTGAGGGGAAAGTAGTTCCAATGAAAACATTGAGATCTGTGCATCGTGTAATTTCTGTCTGTATTTCAGTCTATATTTGTCCTGGGAAATTTAATACATCTGATTTTTATCATTCATTTACTTGATTATAGTCTTATTTTCTTACAACAAACTAAAAAAAGCCAGAGCAGCCAGAATAGTTGAACTAATTTCCAACTTATTGTAAGAATTGTCTGGAAATGAGTATCACTCTTTGCTCTATCATCAAGAACAATTTCACAAAATGCTTTAATAAAGCTGACTTTATCGGAACTCTTCTCACTGCACAGACTTATTCACTTGTTTTAAAGAGTAAGTCTGGTGATATTATATATTTACTGTCATAAAATCTCATGAAAATACCAAAACCAACAATGAATTGACGCTGTTTCTTGATATGTGTGATTCATCTGTGCTTTATGGCTTCATTGTTGTCTAAAAACTAAACACAATCACATAATCAATCCCACAGACACTCTCACTTGAGCACCAAATGTGTATTAATCCACTGCTGAAAATAGTCCCCATCAAATTCACTATTTCTAAAAATTCTAAAAATTAAAGTATATATTTGTGGACCATTTTTAAGATTTACCTATTTAGTAGAAACTAATACTTTTGGGGCTGAGTGCCACGGATGGGGTAGTGAAGATAAGTGAAAGTACTGAGAAGCAAACTAATGCATTTTTGGTCCTTTCAGAAATCAGAAATGGGATATGTAATATTGCCAGTTTATCTTTTAAGAAAATAAGACTGCTAGGACTCAAATGACAGACATGTAGGTTATACATGGTACCTGTGAGCACAAGAAAGAAAATTCCATTAACCTCCATTGTATTGGGTTTGAGGTAGAAGTCTAAAAACTATCTGCATGGCTAAATATTAATGGAGGTTACGTGACAAAATATGTTTTGCTGTAATTTGTGTGACCTAACCCTTTAATGGACATTCACGTTCGGTGAACTTTATCTCTGGTTTTGTTTTTGTGAGCTGTATCGGACACTTACTGCTGACCAGCTGCCCCACGCTGAGAGCCGAGGAAGAGGAGGAGGTGGAGGAGGAGGAAGATGCCTGGTGGAGAGGACTCTGTCTGTGGGGCATGTGGAGCAGGTTGGGCTGAGATGATGTGGGGCCTGTCTGACCCTGCTGCTGGACACATACACACAGAGCTGATATTACATATTGACAATTGAAAATCCGTTTTTCATTCCTCCACTTCATCACAATAATCATCACTTACAGTAATCATGTCATTCTGGTGATTGGGCCATAATATTAAATCTAATCAACCAATCAACAGCTATTAAATTAGCCACTTAGAAGCTGAATATAATGAGATTTACCTTGTACCTGATAATGAATAAATGTTGATTACTGCCTGCAGTATTTAGACTGACAGAGCAGAATATAGTATCAATAGTCGGCTCAATAGACTGCAGTGTGTTTTACTATTGTAGGAGACAGTTGAGTGCCGGAGACTCCACTGCCTCTAAGAGCTTTACAATCGCTTCCCTGCACAGTAAAGAAGACTGCTCATGACAATTAGAGTCGCCTCTCTAGTGATGAGACCTGAGAGGATGCTAATAATGGCAGCCTGAATCTGAAATAAAAACATGTGGACACAGCAGTCCCCATATCAAACATAATTCATGATCCACAAGCTACGTGCTCTGATGGCGAAAAAAACGATGTATTTTCATGTTTTATGCACATTTGAATTGCTTTTACAAGATCAAGATGGTACGTCTTCACTTTTAAAGTGAAAAGCTGTCTCAGATAAGCCAGGCCCGCTTCTCCTCTACTTCTTTGCAATTAATTATTTTCTCTGTGGCATGTGTTTGTTTGGATGGTGGGGGGTGTCAACAGCGATGCACACACTGTCAGGACTGTTGACAGGCTCGGAGAATTATCTAGCTTCACTGGAAATATTCTAGACTGCAGGCTCTGACAACCGTAAATTATGCCCGTGGAACAATGTGTACATGCGGGCTTTGAAGTGGAGACAAAGTATAAACATTATTACAAATGCATTAATTCATTCAAGAGTATGATCTGGTGTTATCAGAGAGCCACAATTAGGTGTCCATATGCTGAGAGCTCAACGATTGTGCACTGTAGGAGCCTTGAATGTAAACTTTTACTCTGTAATTCTGCGCTGACAACGTCATTATCAAGTCAATAACATTTTCACTGTCGTGTGCATTGTCTGACTCCACACTGTATAGATCTTCAAATTGGGAGGAGAAAACGTTTGAGCTGAGGGTTTCTACACTCACAGTATGAACTCAAATTTAGTGTGCAAAAAAGAAAGAACTTGTGTGTTTTATGCGCCTTCCTTTAAATCAAAACAATATACTTCTTGTTCAGATCAGAGAGGACAAATCATAAGGCTGGAGAGTGTGATTGAGGAAGGAGAGATGGAGAGATGGAGAGTGAAACGGAAAGAGGTGGAGAACAGAGGAAGGAGTGTTTGAGTTTTAAGTGGGGTGATGAAAAGTGTTGCTTTGTTTTTGTTTTTTTGGAGGGGGGTTGGGCTCTGCAGGGTGCAGACTGAGACTGAGTCTGAAAGGTTGGCTGACAAGTGCCTTCCAAACATGGCACACACACACACACACATTGTGAACAACTGCACCAAAAGCTACAATTTTCCAAGTGGAACGATGCAAATGAGCGTTATGAGTGTTGAAGCGGGAAAAATACGAGGTGTTTAGCATACAGCAGACAAGCAGTGCTGGAATATTGCTTTCATGCATAAACTCCACTAGGTGTTGCTCATTCATTCAAAGTCAGCTCTTCATCACCATTGAAACATCAGTTTAAGTGTATAATAAGCTGCTCTATACAAGATATCTTCCTCTATATGTGTGTGAATGTGTGCGTGAGTCGGTGTATATGTTACCTGCTGTCCAGGCTTGATTGGTGACAGCGTGATTCCCTGGGTGTTGATGACAGGCAGGATCTGATTGCCGATCACCGTGGCGATGATCTGGCCTTGAGCGTTGGTCAGAAGCTGAGGTGTAATTGGCTGTACCTGCAGTGCTGGGTTGCCACCCCCTGATTGGCTGGAGGGCCCTGCAGAGTTGGGCATCAGTGGGATTGTTCCAATTATCTACAAAGGGGGTAGAGAGGAGACGAAATCAGCTGGGTGGTTTTAAAAAGAAGATGGAGCAGAGAGGGTAAATGCTACTGGAGGTATCAGCCGTAATGATCTCTGCCGCTGTGAGTCTTTTTATGGCTTTCTGCGTACGATCGGAGCCGGACATTTCGCCGTGTTATGAGGCTAATCAGAGCGCTTGGCTTTCTAGTTAGTCTGCGTGTGATTTTGAGAAACAAACATGCGTAAGTGTCTACTGATCATCTGTCACTGAGGTGGTTTTATAGGCTAGAGCAAGTGAAGCCAAAGCAAGACTGCTGGGAGCGCACTGCAAAGGTCAGCGCTGAATACCTGTGTGTGTGATGGTGCACACCACTGACTGTATTATCTATCACCAGGCCAAGCCTGGGATGAGTGTGTGTATGTGTGACTGTGTGTGTCTAAGTGTGTTTTTTGCTTAAGTGTCTTTGTCTGTCTCTGGTGAGAAGGAGTGAGGCTGCTGAGAGGCCGAGGCCCCCATTTCACCCTCTCTCTCTTCAAACACACACACGAGCAGAAAGGAAGAAAGTGGAAAGAAAGAGCAAGAAAAGAAACAATAAAAGGGAGAAAAGAGGAGCATCAGAGAGCGAGACAGGACCCTGTGTTTCTAATTCAACTCTCAGGGTCCCAGGGGTACTTCACCCCTCCTGCACCCCCCCTCCAGCCCCTGCTTTCCTCTCCTCTGTGGCTGTAATCAGGAAGGGCAGATCAAAGGGGGTGGCAGAGTGTCACTGCAGCGTTTTAGCTCTCAGAGCTGCCAGAGTGTGGCCAAGAGTGGCGCTTTAGGGGGGTCTTAGCGCCTCTTCACCATGATGAAGGTTAATGTCATGTGGGGACTGGTTCTTAGCAGCTCCTGAGCAGCCATCACCCCCTCCCCCCCCTCCCCACGGCCCGCTGACATCGCTCCTCCACCAAGCCTCATTACACCAGAGAGCACCTTAACATGGATGAGACGCCCATCACTCTAAATTTGCCTAGTTATTTGGCAACTGGGCTACTTTTGCAAAAAATTTGCAAGACTATTCTACTTCTTCCAGTTTATATTTTAGTGCATGCTTCTACATACCCCACGCAAAGCAACACAAAACTACAAACAGCTTCTATATAGCAATAACCTAGCCTTTACTGGCTCCCTAGTCTCTATCGCCACCACTGCTAATGTGCTCCAGCGTGTGAGTCGCCTCCCCCTCCCCTCTCCCCCCGTCTCTTTGACATAATAGGGACGGATCAGTGAGAGAAAGGTGGGCCGACAATCTGTAATTCATCCCTGCCACGGCTCATTTGCTTACGTTGCTTCGCATTAGGGGAGAGATAATTTATCTCTCTCTCCGCGCCGGCTTTACAAATTCCCTGTAATGCTCTCCTGCCACTTAGCATATTTTATTGCCCTGCCTGACGCTCTACCCTCCCGAGTCCCACTGATCCCGCTTTGCATGCCGCTGTGGCAGGGAACTTGTTCCGCTCAATTATTCATCGTCATTGGACTAAGTGGTTGTTCTATAAGCATAATAAAAGAGCAGGCAAGTGACAGCTTAGCTATCGTCCCTGTCCCACCATGCAATCCTTCTTCATCTGACTATCTCAGGCAGATATTTCATGGCTGTGTGTCAAGGTTCTTCTGGGGCTGGAAGGGTAGAGTTTATAGAGTAGTCAACTGTTTGAATGCACTTTTGTAGACAGAAGGGAATACTTTGTTACACACTTTACTAAAGGGGAGTATTTAATTCAGGTTTACAGAGCATTTATAAAAGTGTGCTTGAGTTTATGGATTAATATAATTAAGGCTGGGTATCAAACCTCAATACTCTGAAATGTGTCTGTAGCATTTAAAAGGATTAAAAATTGAAATAATTATTTACTTATTCTTTTAAAAGAAATGTCCAGGTCTAAATTTGATGGAGACTCTTAAGGAGTAATTTCATCATAGCATCATTTCATAAATAAGCAGCCTTCAGGAACTTCTCTCATTCAGTCTGTCCTTCTCCTCAGTTATCTGTCAGTGTCTTCTCCTTTATTTGGCTTCCTGTGTTTGTTTCCCGCTTCAGTTCGTATGACATGTGAGTAACGTGCCTCTCTCCACCCAGCAGAACTCATTAAGATTATGCTGCTCTTGTTTCCACAGAAATGTCATCTCATCTCTCCAGCCAGGGCAATCTGTGTCTTTAGCCATGGTCGCCAAGCAATATCTCTGCACCATTTTCTCTCCTCCACTGTTCATGCGGTGAATTGAGACCCGAGAGGGAACATGTTTGGGAAGTTTGGTCTAAAGTCTGAGAAAGCTAACATTCAGAGTAAATCAAAGCCTAAAACAGCAAACTCATAATGGTGCACAGGACAGAAGACATTTCCTGGGTACAACAAGATACAGACACAGTAGATTCAGGCAGCAAAGATTAGCTGTTTAACAGAAATTTGTTGATCGAAAAACTTTATTTACAAAAATGTTGACAATTCATTAATAGCCTAAATTATTTATTCAACAAAAACATCGAACATTAACTTGTTAAAGCATTTCAAATGTGAGAATGTGCTGCTTTTTTGTGTTTTATATCATTAGTAATTTAATATATTTGGTTTGATGATAATAATCAATAGTTGCAGCCCTTCAGTAGATTAACAATCAAGTCAATAGCAGTTTATGCTGAGGTTACATGTGATCAAAGGGCTGGAAGCTTCTGTACAAGGGGAACACTTGTGTTGTGGTTCAGCTTCACTCACTTTATTAACTGTGCTTGTGTTCCTTACCTGATGTTCTCTACATTAGTGCCAGCACCATCCAAAGGCTGGGAAATGGTTGGATGGCCTGACAGCCCAAATTCAGGGAGGAGAGAGTTTATATTCACAAAGCCATGACAATACGGCTTTCCCAAACTGGGATTTCCCACGTATACAAACCATTTCAGGAGTGTCTACGTGTTTTAGGAAGTATGGTCCGCCCCTTGAAACAGCCCTTAATGTCCTCATTTACCAACATATTTTTTTGGTATTAAAGCTGCAGGGAAAGTGAGAATCTGCACTGAATAGAAGACGCTGACAAAAATGTCACAGATTTCTTCAGTTCAATTGTATTGATATAGCGCCAATTCCTAACGGAAGTCATCTTATTGCTCTTTTCATCTAGACAATACTCTTTGTAATATTATTAACAGAGACCCACCCTGAGCTGGCACTTGGCGACACAGGCAAGGAGAAACTCCCTTTTAGCAGGCAGAAACCTTGAACAGGACCGTAACTCAGGGTAGGCGGACGTCTGCCTCAACCGGTAGGGGTAAAAAAATCAGGAGTGAAAGTGACAATATTCTGGCTTTTATCCACAGCTGTAATCGGTGTTGTAGAGGTGGTGAGGACAAAAGAGCCTCACTGATTCTCCTCGGGATAAAAAGGCTGGGGCCCAACATCATTAAGGTTTAAAAACATATTAATAAAGATGGCACTTTTCAAGGTCTCCAGGGCTCTCGCTTATGAAAAGGTCTTTTGACAGAGTTGTCAAAGAAATCAGGAGGTCCAAAACAGCATACTCCAAGAAAAGGTGACTTTTCACTGTACTCTACTACAGTGATGAGTAAGGGTGGACTATTATGATACAGTACGTAAATTGATATCACAGTAACAGAGAAACTAAGTAATAGCTCCTGCGGTGGAAATGGTATTGCCAAATCTGTACTGGTGGACGCATTTCTACTGTCGCATAGTATGTACAGTCATATCGTCCAACCCTAGTGATAATACAGACTGTTTCCTAATTTCCAATTAAACACTACACAGACCAGATAAAAGCAGTTCTGTAGTAAATACAAACAAGTCTTGATAAAAGCCGTTCCACTGCTTCCTGTTTTGACGCTTTTCCATGCTGACATACGTGTTTGGTGGACCTCCAGCCTTATTTGGGGTATGTATTAGCCTGTATAATTTACTCAGCTTTGGGGGGAAGGGGGGACAGGACCTTCTGATAGGGTAGTGCATGTTTCAGAGCCCTCCGTCTGAATAATGCTGTGGAATAATGAGGTGGGGAGCAAAGGCTGTAGCCCAGGGCTTTGACCGTCTCTGTGACCTGATTATGTCAGGGGCTGTCAGACGCCAAGACACTACAAAAGCACAGAGCACCCCATCAAGTCCATATCCACAGTGATCTGTCCCCAGTGCTCCAGGCACCTTGTGAGCCAGGGAAGTCCATACTGTCTCATTAGCGATGTTTAGCATCAAGCGCTTGCACGTGGACAACACTTTACGATAAACAATGAGGTACTGTCACACTGGTGGTACTGATAGTTACTCGGATAGCCTAAATGTCAAGATTAACATTAAAACTGTTTTTTGCATGTTTTCTAGTGCTAGGAAATGTCAGCTACTGAATCGTTTCACCATGTTTGTATTTTAGTTTACACTAACTGCAAGTGTTTAAAGATGAAACAGGGGTTAAGGTAAATAACACAGAGTGGCATGAAAGGGCACATTGTCCATACAATTCTCCTTTAATATGTGCTGTGTGCACCTGCGATAAGATGATTCATTAGATAGGGTCCCACAATGACAAGCATCATCGTTCAAGCCTCTGGCTACTGATGGAACAATTCTGCAGCCACCCTGTAAATATGACAAGGTCAGCATTTTACCACAACAGGCGCATGCGGATAAGAGAAAGAAGGGCTTTGTTAACTCCCAAAAAAGCTTAATATATGGTGGGGTGGCTACTAGAGTGTAGACAAACAGCTTCGAGACAACACACAGACCCACCACTAGAAATCTATGAGGAACTATCAGAAATACTATACAAAGGATTTATTTACACATTCATACATGATAGATGGTCCGGCAACATCTCTTATAGATCTGTTTTCTCTCTGTGGTATTTAAAAGGGTAATTACAGTATTTTTAAACCTTGGCCCCACTTTAAAATATTTTGGCGTCCAAATGACTAATAGGTACAAACAGTTTTGGTACTGGTCCAGTAGATCGCCTCAGCTGGCAGCTGTTTTTAGAATGTTAGTGAACTCACCTGTCCCTGTGCGTTGGTGACCAGCTGCCCGGTGGCTCCTTGCAGGTTTGACAAGGTGTTTCCAAACACCTGAGAACCGGCGATGGATCCCATGGCTGCTGCCGCTGCTACCGCCGCCTGGCTGGCCAGTGGATTCAGCTGGCAAAGGTAAAGAAATCATTCATCAAAACTGCATTTGTAAATGTCACTTGTGCAGATGTTTATTAGTATAATGCAAATTCCTAAAGAAAAAGCAGGTTCAGGAAGGCGCAGTGCGGGGGGCTTCACACTTTGATTCTTTGCTGCAAAGACCAGAATAGGCTAACTGCAGTGAGGTCTCTATAGTCCAGGAGAGAGGGCTATGCAGTCCATCATACAGCTCCCAGAGGTCTGTGCTCCTGAACCCAGTGGGAGGCTCAAGGGTTGGGAGGAGCAGTGAGAACGGGAGGGTGAATGTGAATAAGTGGCCATTTTACCACTCTAAGTGCTTCCTCTGGCCCCCGGGGCTCCCCACGGGCCGAGCAGAATCTCTCCACCCGCAGCAATGGCCCAACAGCATCCCGCTCTCACAATAGAGCGGGGCAGTGTGGCCATGCATCACTGTATCGCCAACCTCTTCAATACGCTTCGACTAAGAATTCCTCCTGCGTCACAATGTACAAGCACACTGTTACTTTGGAAGAAGAGGAGGAGGGTTAAAATGACCATCTTTGCCTCCGCTATAATGGACTCATCTGGTCTGGCCTGTGGTTGTGAAAAGAGGCTCAGTGCGTCGGGGAGAGGGTTGTAGAGCCTCGCCACATCGACGAGATTACCCATATAAATCAAGCTAACCACTTATTAGGGGGCTGAAAATGCACTGCTGATTTGGTTGTACTGCAGCAGAGCAAAGTCTTATTAGGTTGAGTAAGTAGATCAAAGACCAAGAAGAGATAGGAGACCTCCCAATTACTCAACAGAATAGAGAAATAATAGAAACACTGCTTAGAAGCTGGCTGCCTCCTCTCTGCTGCTAATACAGTCAAAACTGCTGAAATTAGTTTGTATAAAATGTTTAAAATAACACAGTAGTGTTTTATGTGCAATTATGTTTATGTAAAATACAATGTGCTGAAAAAGAAATAATTTTACTGAAAGGATCAACGTTTCCACACTGTCTGTGCTCTGCAGGGAATTCAGCTTTGTTCATCTGAGATCATCATCTTTTATCTTACCCCACCACCATATATTATTACACTTTCTGAAATCAAATGATGAAAAAATGCCACAGAGCGATCAATACTTTTTCATTGACAGTAAAGGTTAAGCACATTAAGAATGACACTGCATTTGTCTTATGAAATCATATTTCATGTTGGTGGCCTCAAATTGGCCGTGATTGATATTGCCTCCCCTCGTCTGAAAGTCATCCAGTTTTTCCTCGATAATCGCAAGATTGTCTTTTATGAGTCCAGCGGTTGTCCTTCGGAAATCTTAACTTCTCAAATGTTAGAAAACCACAAGCCTGATTCTGACTTTACATGCAAAGGTAAAAGGATTACAGAACTTCAATCAGTACGTTCCTGAACATTTATATACTATGGGGTAATACGTAAGATAATTTGGGTGGTCTAACAACTAAGGAAGAATATTGTTCATTAAACTCAGAGATTGAAACAGTGGAATATGCATGCACTTATCAATTTATCCCAATATTTAAATGTAATTCCATAAAAAATGTGCAAATGTTTTAGCTCCCAAAAACCTGTATTTTGTATTACATTAGAGTTGTTGCTAACTAAAAGACAAGAGTTTACTACTGTATCTTGTAAAAGCATCAGCTGCAGATAAGTCTTTATCCAAAGATGCATCTACTTTATAGAAAACGTTTAAATCATATAGAGGTCTTATTCGAATACAATATTTAGTGCTGCAGTAAAGGCTTAACACCGCTGTTCATTTCTTTGAATGTCATTTTGATTATTTAAATGTGATTTTGAAAATATTAGCCAATATTGAAAATATCCTCAATAATATTGTGACAATATTTTCTCTTCCTTAACTGATTTAGCTTCAATATCTGGATAAATAATATTATATTTTTATTACCATCCTTATCACAATAGCCAAAAATGTGGACACACATCTGTGATAATTATACATTTATTATGGGAGAAGATGGCAAACGCAACATTTTGATGGAATAGACAGACAAACAAACAATCCTGGCCAAGACAAAGTGAGTGCTGGATGTTGAGAGATCAGTCAGGAACTGATGCTCAGCACATAATTTCCTCTTCACTTATGACTGGAGAAGTAGTAGCTGAGAAGAAGAAATAAAACCTGGACCAGCTACTGTGGTAGTTTATGTTTTGTGAATATAAAAGACCTTCTTAAGTACTGATATAGAAGGTCTTCAGTCCATGTTGGTGAAAACACAGTATTACGGGTGTTGTGATGTGGACACAGAGATGGCCAACACGGCCAGTTAAACACAGTTAAACAGAGGCTACAGATAAACACACAGATAATGTGATCTGCTCAGACGAGCCCGCCCTGAGTCTCCCTGAAAGTCTGCTGTGCTTGGTGTCATTGCGTGAGTGATAGGTTGTTGGAGAAGCGTTCAGATTTATTTGAAATATTATCATTGCGTTTCATTCGATGATAGCCCTTTCAGGTGCTATGTTATTCTGGTAAATCTAGGTGAAAAGAGAGCAGGCTTTATTGCTGCATCTCCTGGCACTGGGTAATATGGATAGCAGTTGAAAGGAGAGCCAGGAATAAGGAGAGGCGAGGCTGTGTTCAACACCTAAACAGGTGATTTTCCGCCACGGTGACTCCTCTCAACACCTCGGCGGGAGGCACAAAATGACAGACCTGGCCTAGCGTTTGTACTGATTGCATGTGTTGGAGGAGATAAACAGTGATCTTCCAGGTTGCAGAGCCTGCATGTTAACCATTGTGTTTCATTCTTTTCATTCGCTGTGAAAAGGGCGTCAAACGGATTTCCAGCAGCATAGACAACTCTGGTCAGCCACACAAATGTTGGGACAACACAGATGCAAAACATAAACTGAAGTCAGTGTATTTTTGTTAAAGAACTGTTTGAGGTGTTAACGTTAAATTCAAGAAATATTAGAACATTTCAGTTTTATTTTGTCAACACTGTCTCATGTTTACTAGCAGCAAACCTTAGCACTGCTCAAGCCTTCACTATATCATGTGGCATCATCTTATCACCTTTAAGTCAACACAAATGCTGTCACACGCTGCAGTTTAATATAGCCAAATATACAAGGCTACACAGGGATCAACACAAAATAAATGCCTCTGAGAGGGAAAAAAAGCCTGCAAATTGATAAAAATGCATCTTTTCTCAGCACGGGATGGAGGGGAGGGAATCGAAACTCCACCAGGCTCTTCGTCGCCTGTTTGACCATGAGGGTCACCTGGTGCAGCAACCCGTGTAATCTCAGGAATAGAGGGAAAAATAGCGTCCCCGTAAACCGTGGAGAGACCCCTGGAAACCAAAATTGTCTGACACAAACTAACTGGAGTTTATTCTTGGTTTTGCTCTTTTCATGTGGCCGTTTTAAACTTAATTGCTTTTTTTTGTTCTGGGCCTGCACAGGACAAAAAAGAGCAAAGATAAATGGACAAAGTGGTGCAGACACCAGCAGGCAGGCAGATTCGTCTACGCTCAGGCTTCAGCAGTGTGTAAAAACTTATTTTTTGCTCATCTATGATTCAACAACAGAATCAAACAGTTATCTAATATATCAGAGAAAACTGAAAGAGAATAATAAACCTTCAAAGAATCATTTAGCATATTAGTGGTTCGTAATGTTTTTAATTGACAATGAAAGCAGTTTAGTGTAAACTTCTGTCTAGAAAGTGACTGAAACAAAAATCCTTTCCTTTTCAAAAAGTCTCTCAGTATGATAGAAGCTGATGTGAGAAGTGTGTTTGCTACCATTCAACGTCAAAGTGGGCCAAACAGTGTAAATTAACAGTCAATCGCAGTATTGTTTCTGAGAAGAATGTCCTTTATCTCTGGAACAAGTTTCCCTCGTTCATCCCGGCCCCACATCTCTGTCTCCTTCCTGCTCTTTTCCCACTCCGGAGTGAATGTAATCAGCTGTGACATGAGAAAACACGTTCTCTGTCTGTCAGGACTCTGCTAGTCTTCCGCTGACAGTCCTCTGCTGACCCCCCCCCCACCCCCCAACCCAAAACGGCCTCTCCCCCACCTCCCTGTCTCCCCTCTCTCACATCCGCTGTGCTTATGAACATCAAAATGCCATTAGGCCCTCCAAAACACCTCTGGTCCCTTGGTTGGCTGGGCCTCGCACTGTGGTCGTGCACTCTGAGCCCTCAGAGCGCCGACTATTGCTCACCACTGGGCCTCTGCTCCAGCCGTTGTGAAAAATAAACCCCAAAAAGAGCCATTCTTGAGGAAAAATATTGGGAAGTGAAAGACGGATAGAACAACTGGGGCAGATAACACCCGGCAAAATACAATAACCCTGCACCCGGTGATGGTCAGACATTGTAATTGCTTAAGGCAGTGGAGGGATGGTGGTGGCAGCGGGTGTGGATGTGGAAGTGGCATGGCGGATGCTAATGGAGTGATGTCATATGAAATGTCAGAATGACAGCTAGTTAACTGAGGAGGTTTGGCTGATCAAATAAAACGCATTAACTCCAGGAAATGGATATCGCGGGTGGCTTCAGAAATGGTCACATCTAATGAGGCAAAATGCAAATGAAGGAGGAAAAGAGTCGTGAAAACGTTTAAACTAACTATAAAGGGATGATGGAGTGTCGGACAGTGGCCGTCAATCTCCCTACTCATTACCTTCATGTGAAATTAACAGCAGTTTTAATCATTACATAAAATCTGCTCCAGCCCATTTGTTGATAATTGTGAGTCGCAGAGGTTCAGAGTGGGTTCTCTGTCATCAATCACAGCAGCAGTACATTTCCTCTGGTTAAGGGACACTCCACGAGCAAAAATATAAGTTATACTACATTCCTCTTACACTATTTCTCTTCCTGAGGAATGATCTGTAATATTTAGCTGTTTCCAGATGTATTAAATTTGAAACTACTTGGTGATTAAGTATCTACAGGAAAGTGCTGACCATTTCAGCTCATGATGTGACATATTTGGTGCAGTT